CCACCACCCTCACAGTGAAGAACCCTCTCCTCATCTCCAGTCTAAATCTGTTCCCCTCCAGCTTGAAGCCATTTCCCCTCATCCTGTCACTGCAGGCCTTTCTAAACAGGTTCTCCCCAGCCTTCCTGTAGCCCCCTCAGGTACTGGAAGGCTACTATTAGGTCTCCCCGGAGCCTCCTTTTCTCCAGGCTGAACAACCCCAGCTCCCTCAGCCTGTCCTCAGAGCAGAGGTGCTCCAACCCCCTGATCATCCTCGTGGCCCTCCTCTGGACCTACTCCATCATGTCCATGTCTTTCCTATACTGAGGGCTCCAGACCTGCACACAATACTCCAGGTGAGGTCTCACCAGAGCAGAGCAAAGTGGCAGAATCCCCTCTCTGGACCTGCTGGCAACGCAGCTTTTGATGCAGCCCAGGATGGGATTGGCCTTCTGGGCTGCAAGTGCCCACTGCCTGCTCATGTCCAGCTTCTCATCCACCAGCACCCCCAAGTCCCTTTCCTCAGGGCTGCTTTCCAATACCTCACCCCCTAGTCTGTGCTGATGGTGAGGATTGTTCCGGCCCAGGTGCAGAACCTTGCACTTGTTCTTGTTGAACCTCATGAGGTTCACCTGGGCCCACCTCTCCAGCCTGCACCCAGCTGCTTCCAGAGCTTGCTCACCCCCTGCCCTGCCACCCCCAAGGTCCCATCCTGGGCAGGACCCCAGCCAGCCCCATGCCCCGGAAGGGGAAGGAGCCCAGATCCAGCTGCTGGCTCCCATCGCCGGAGCCGTGATCCCATTCATGCCTCCCCCTCACCATCTGCCACCCCCACCTCCCACCGGGGCTCAGGCAGCTTATCCAGAGCAGCAGCAAACCCGGTGGGGTGCTGCCAGCCCAGAGCAGAGCGGGGTGTCCCCCCAGCCCTGACACAGTCTTCAGCCCGTGGAGCCCCAGCCCAGCACCCCCACACCCCCCCAGCCTGGGCTGCAGGAGTGAGAGCCATGATTTGCCCCCCAGCCCAGGGGGGGGGACCCCACAGCAGGTCACAGCCCCCCTGCACCCACAGCAGAGCCGTGCCAGGGCAGCGCGGGCAGGACAAGGGCAGAGGAGGTTGCTGGAAGGAAGGGATGGGCAGCCTTGGCACGATGGGGGGGTGCAGCGGGGCTGCCACAGCACAGCTCAACCCAGGATTAGCTTGGAGAAGCAAAAATAGCTTGGAGCTGTGACTAAGGCCAGATTTTGGCTCTGGGGAGCCAGGATTACGGCATTGTCCAGGATGCGTTATTAGAAAAGAAAAAAAAAAAAAAAAAAAAAAAAGGGGTTGCATTTGGGAGCAGCTCTGCTGAGAAGGGTGAAGCAGTGTTATGGGGGGGCTCGGCAGTCCCCTGCCAGTGGCCACCTTGCCTGGATGGGCACCCAGTGGGCAGCAGCTGCCCGGGAGAGGCAGGGTTAACTGGCACGGCGTATCACTGCGGCTAAAGCCCCTCTCCATGGCAGATAAAGCCGATAAGAGACACATCAAACCCGAAAAGCTGTTTAAAAGTGCCTGGGAGGCGGCTGGCACAGCTGCAGGCAGGATGCTGCAGGGTGCCGTGGGGCAAATCCCACCTTTGCCAGGGCAAAATTCCCAAGGTTTTGCATTGGGTCACTACTTCAGGCAGCTCCCAGTGAGACCGTCCTCCTCCAAAAGCCAGATCCAGCCCTGGGGACACCGGTCCCTGTTGGCTCTGGGGGCTTTGTGAACACCCGTTTATTTTAACATGAGGTTTTTCAATTTGGCTGGGCCTCCAAAATGATTTTAAGTGGGGACATACATTTTTGGGGTTTATATTTGAATGAAATTTGCCTTTGCTGCACAAACTTTTCTTTGCTGATGTCTGTTTTAGGAAGAATTGTCAGGGATGTATATATTGAGTCAATCTGGAGCTATAGATACCATTAGTGAAAGGCTTTATTTGTTAGTATTAGTTATTTTTAGCTTTTATTCATATCTTGGTCTTTTTATTTGCCTGGAAGTGTTCAAAACACGGGTTGACATGGTCCTCAAGAATATGATTTAGTGTGTGGGTTTTGGTTTTTTTTTTTAATTGCTTATTTCTTATTTATTTTTTTGTCAGAGTTAGGTTGATGGTTGGACTAGATGATCTTTAAGGTCCTTTCCAATCTAGATGATTCTATGATTCTAACCCCACAGCAGAGCTGGGGACTCCCCTCAGCTCAGCAGAGGGGCAGGGGCATGTGGAGCCCGGTGCCACGCTTGGCCCCAGCCCCTGATTGTAGGATCACACATGGGGCTCTGCCCTGGCACCTCGGGGTGCAGCTCAGCCTGAGCTGGGGGGGGCTGGGGGGGGGCTCACACCTCGTTACGCGTTGCTGTCTCAAAGGTAACATCCCAAATGAGAGCTCCTACGGGCAAACAACACCCTGGGTCATCTGGGGTGCTCTGCATCACATCAGGCCACGAACCAGCCCAGCATCAGGGCCAACACATGCCCCAGGGGTGCTCCTGGTGCCCCAATGGTGCCCTGGGAGGTGGTCGCAGGTCCCAGTGTCACCTTCATGCTGGTCCCTCCCAGTAAGGTGAGGGACACGCAACCCTGCAGCCAGCTGGCCCAAGAGGACCTTCCTCCAGATGATTTGGGGAAAACTGGGGTCAACCCCGAACACGACCTGTCCCCGGGTGGCTGCGTGGTGCCAGCGGTGCCAGGAGCTGGCACGTGGCACTCCGGCATGATCCCCTCCCCAACATCCCGAGGCCTTAATCCATCCTGACCCCAGCACACGGACACAGAGGGGAGCCCAGCTCCCGGAGAAACACCAGATCACAGGGAATGGCCCCAAAACGGACGGGACGGTGCTGGGACACCCCAAAACGGACGTGCTCCCCCCCTCCCCCCCGCCAAAACACCCCCCCACCAGTATCCGCCAGGCCAGGGACTGACCCCAACCGACCCCGGAGCGTTGCTAACGGGGGGCTGCCCTGTGCAGCACCGGGGCTTCCCGGGGG